CTTGGATTAAGCCATGTTTAAATCCTCAAATAGATTTTGCTAAATTTATGGATTGATTCCAGATACAACAAATTTCCAGGTTCTCCAAAACCTTGCAATTGTTTATCAAAAACATCTCAATTCTGAAGTTTCAACAACATTGCTCAAGCAAAGCTAGAATCAATATTAAACTGGTCAATTCTTATTCCAACCAAAAAAAAAATACACTAAACAGGTCAATTCATTTGAAGCTAAAATGAAGAAAAACAAGAAACCTTGCCAATCAAAATGTAGCAGAGCTGAATCTATGTGTTTTGGATTACTACCAGAAGAGAAAAAGAAAAAAAAAAAACACCAACAACAACAGAATATCTGGAAAAAGAGGGAATAGAATATGCTGATAACTAAATCCAGCAGACAACCAGTTGATGCATACCACTATTTTTTCACATGTTAACTGAGAGTACAGTATTACTTAAGCAGATGTTCTATAAACAGAGAATTAGATGAAATAACGACTCGTTAAAATAAGGTAATAATCTTTCCATCTCAGAGAGACGACTTTTTCTTCAAGCCAGTCTGATTGAAACTATGTATGACGTTTCATTCAATATGAACTTATCTGAAACAAATTTTCAATATTGTTTTTGGGCATATAACAACTGGCTTCACATTCTTAACTAAACCTCTAAAAAGGAACAGAAAATGAGACTTGAAACCTCTACCTTATTTATAATACCTACCACTAAGTTGGCTAAAATAAAAATCATCAACAAATTATACATATCAACACGGGATATTGCACAGCATAGTTCATACGGGCAGATATATTCAGCAAGCATTTCACATAATCACGACCAGAACATTAGCATGTAATTTATATATAGTAATAAGAAGTCAAGAAGCGAAACATGGAAACTATAAAGACAACTTAACTGAAAACAATAATAAATTGTACAGTTAGAGTATCGAAGTAACACTAAGCAAGCATTATAGTTAAACACAACAGCCAAAGAATAGCTGCATACAAGAAGGAAACTAGAAACTAACCGAGGAATGCTTGTAAGAGAGAAAAAGAAACGGCGAAAATTAGGAGAAACCCTAGGGAGACAATAAGGACCTGCCAAACGCGGAGGAGACGCTTCTTGGCATTGGCTTTACGGGTTGAGGTTAGCTTTATTCTCTTCCAAACAAGACCACCGGAGTCATGCTTCTTCACTATCTCCATCACGCGCGAGCCCCAAAACGCTCCTACTCCTGCCATCTCCGGTTTCCGTCTCTCTCAAAGTTGTGTTCTTTCCCTGTAATCAGTCGAACAGAGCGTGATACTGATTTTCAGATGGCTTGAGCTTTAAGTGCAGGCCTAAACCCATTACATAATAAGACCATTTCTGCAGTCACACCAATTTTTTCCGTTACAATTTATTTTATAATTTTTTTGGTTATAATTTAAGTTCTATAATTTTTCATTTCTTAAAAATAAAATAAAATTAATTAAGCAATATTTACATAAT